TGTTGAAGTAAACGTAAAGTTATGCTTATTTTAGCATGAAGAACTTAAAATTGATATAATGTGTTTACCTGAAAGTGACAGCATTTAATGGTCACTAATTAGTCATTTAGAGTCTAGGGCCATTGAATCCTTGTTATAGTCGATTTGCATCACAATGTCTTAGTTAATTAATTAACTACAGAAAGAACAAACAAGAGAACTAAAAACGGAAAATTTCCCAATTTTTTGAGGATCAAGTGTAGGGAAAATGTGACAAAGGGTGTCTTTGGGAGGAAAGTAAAAGTGATTCATATGTCCACAAGATGAAAGACAGTGATGGAGCTAACATGGTTAGGGAAAGTTTGATTGAGGGAACAACTTGTCCTATTTTCTACTTTTGCTTTTTCCGCCCTATACAAAGTGTCCCATTTTCTTCTTACTTTGTGAGAATGATGTTTTAACATCTTGAAAAGATTCCCAAAACAGATCACCTCACTTTATACCTGTGCACTTCCCACACAATAATTCAGTCTTTGGTCCTTGCATTCCTCTTTCACTTCTCACCACAGTGAAACAATGATTTTTATTTTTTATTTTTTTTCCTTTGCTCCCTTATCCAAATTCACCTTTTTCTTTTCTGCCCACTTTGTAAATTAAAGAAAAATATTCTCCACCAAGTGCTCATCAGCATGTAACATTTTTAAGGCCTGCTTGTAAATATTTCCTCTGTGAATTATGAGAACATTAATTTTGAGAAAAGTAATTTAGTGAATTCTAATATTTTTTGCAAGTATAACAACTAGGACATTCGGAGCCTCATTCCCTTTTTCTTTTTTTTTAATAAAGATCATGCTTTTGTCACTTAGGTAAAAGTGTCACAAAACACATATTCATTGCTTACAGAATCATATTGTATTATAGTAAAGCAGTTCTACAAGAAGCCGTTATATATATATGGACCATTTAAACTGCTTTCCATTAACAAATCAAACTTAAACCCTTTGGTTTCAAGCAACAAGGTTAGAATATACACCTTAATAAAGTAATGATATGAATTCCATTCCAGCAGCACCACACAAATATTGTTAGTGGTTATCTAATCTTAAACCTACTAATAGAAGGTGATTCCAGTTTCTAAATACAATTAAAGACTAAATATAATTTTCAGTTCTTATAAAAAGAGACTTAACTAACTAAGCTAGCTAAAACCTTAGTCACTTGTATATCTTGCCCATTATGTTATTGATAATTTTTAACATGGTTTCTAAGAAACTACAAGATTTTGTAGTTAGTCCGTGATAACAGAAACCATCAGTAGTCATGTCAAATGGCAATTGCTAGAGAGTGAAGCAAATCTAAAAAGGACCACTGATAATTGATTAGTTAACCTTTAGCTGAAACTAAGCTTAACCGATATTAATATCATTAGCTCAGTTCAATTTATGATGCACACATTCTATGTTCACAGGTTTGGTCCCATCTTCTCTTTGAACTTATGGGCAATAGATTCGGGGGAAGCAATAGTTACTAATCATCACGAGATGATGGCATTTTTTGTCACGTTATCTGTAAGAATATAACTTGTCTTTTGTTTGTTGTATGTGGTTCTGTAAGTCTTCACAAGGGACTGAAGGTGAAACAGCAGAAAGCTCCAAGAAACATTTCCCTTTGGAAAATTCGTTAAAAGAAGCACTTGATGTTGTGGCAAATAATGTTGAGTAATATAAATAATATACAAAAATTCTGTAATAAGACAGCAATGTGTTTCTTTGGTCTTATTCATCTCATCTCAGTCATCACGTTTTGTTTGTTGATAAGTCTCATTCAACCCCTTTGGCTATCAGACTGGCAACAGTGTCACGGATTGAAAATGATATTAATATTTAGCCAAAACATTCAGAAGAATGAGGTATTTTCGAGCAAATGAAGAAGAGTATTTACTTGATGTATCATTTTCTATATGCAGCTCAAACATAATAAACAAGCCAATGTTCATGTATCTTCTAAGTACTATTCTCATTAGTCAGGAATGTGAGACATTCTAAAATTGAAATTTATTGTTGCATATTATTAAGCTCATGATTAGGTACCATTAGATTTTGTAATTTAAGACGCAAAGCAAAATGTCAAGTTCTTTGTCTTGTGTACTTCAATTAACTATAGAGTGCAGCAAAAGGATAATGTTACAAGGCACAATCACAAGCCTCATTCATGGGATTGTAATGAATGAAGCAGAAAATGGGTAGCCGAATGGCATTCAAATACAAGATAAAGACCACACGCATGCTTCTTGCAAAGACAAAATGGAAATAAAAGCGAATTTTAAAAATTCCTTCCCTCCCCTTGACAGTCACTTTACCAGTTTCAAGCATGCATGTGTAGAACAACAAAAAGCATATGCTATGCTTTGGTCCCCCCCACATTCTCTCTCTCTCTCTCTCTCTCTTTTTCCCTTCTTTGAAGGCTTTGATGCAAATAGGAACCAAATGTTCTCCGTGTCTCAAGCAGCATTGTTGTGATCTCCTTTAGGAGAACAAAACCCAACATTTTTACAGTCCAGACTGAGTTATATCATAATACATTACACAATGTTTTCATAAGGGGTGCATCAAAGTTTGAACTTTGAACTTTGAACTTATAGAACATTTTTTTGAAATATCCCAAAAGTCTTTATCACAAACTCACATATGATGGCAAGTAAATAAAATTTTGATTGGTGTTAGACAAGTTAGGAAACTTCCAGCCACACTATTCCTTTTGTTTCATTATTGTTACATTTTTTTTTTTTCGCTGGAGAGTCTTCAATGGCCAACCACATTATGCCTAAGAAACATAAAGACAATTTCTCAGGCAATGTTCACAAGAAAGTTTGAAAAAATGAAAAAAAGAAACTCACATTATAAACGTTAGTTTCAGACTCAGTGATTAGAGATGTACTATCATACCGGACCTCAATTTCTGCACAAAGTATTGGGTACCATGAAAAGTGATAACTCTTACTTTGCTTTCAAATAAAGTAAAAATGTGGTTATAACTTAGAACTTGGTTTAGGTGGTTGAATTTGGAACTACAAGATACAGGGTGGTTGGGAATAAAATATTAAAAACTGGGGGGAGAAATAAACACACACATCTATTAGTTGGCAATAACTAGTTAAAATTTTATTTTTTTAAGTCGCTATCTTTTTTCCCCAAAGTAAACAAGGTTGGGGACATGAAAATTTGACAGATGAAGCGAATCCAATTTCGTTGATGGTCCTAATTTTGTTGCTATTGTTGTTGAACTGATGGTCCCATGGTTCTCTGTTGTTCACAATTTTTATTGGTATTATTGTAATGAAAAATTAGCTTTGCTAATAATTATGCCCCAAGTTTATCATAAATTTATGTTAAAATGCTTCTTGTTACATCAACAGGGGTAAAACAGAATAAATACTTCTGAGACAGATTTGATGCATGTGCATCCATCTAAAACCATTATTTTTTAAGAGTTATATGTTCTTTGAACAATTACAATGTTAATGTATGATTATTCGGAGAAATCATGCTGAGATAAGCCAATATAAAAATACAAATAAAATTATTGTTCTTTTTCCCTAATGGTCACCAAATTCTACAGAAATTAAACACATTCGAGTCTTAAGGGAATTTATATTGCTTAATCTGTTCCATTGATCATATATAAAATTACAAATTGTTAGATTAACTTGTTATAAACAATCTAATCCCTGCTCAAAAGAACTTCTAAACTGTTGATGGTTACTTCATCAAGCTAATTCGCATTTCCTTGTATTCACGAATTATGCAAAAATATGTTTATAAAAATATCACTCCCTTTTTTATTTTGTTTTGTTTTCAAAATGTATATAAAAATGGTAAACATGTTTATATTTTTTCCATAACAAATCTTTAAAAATAAAATATTTTTTTATATTTATTAATAAAAATAGAAAATGTTTCTTCAAGCAATTAACCAAACAAGCCCTAATTTCATATTAATTAATGGCAGAGTCAACTAAAACCATGAATGTTGAAAGGAAAATCGAAAAACACGTCTAACAATATGGTTTATTTAATGCCCATTTGATTTAGGGTTAGATAAAATTAATTTTAAAATATTAAATATAATTGAGAAACATGATAAAATTAATTTAAATTACATAATTTACATTAAAACATATATTTTAAATTGAAACGTGTAAGAGTTAATTTTAAAAATTTAAAAGAAATAGGGACATAACTACATTATGTTTGATTTTAGCTTTCGGTTTCAAATCGAATAATTTATGCTAAGAATTTCCAAGATAATTCAAATTGGCATTGACATGACATCCCTATAACTGACGTGAGTTGTTTGAATGTCATTCCATATCGGCAAAGTCAATAAAAGAGGAAATTATGCATCGAATAAAAAAGGAGAGGAAATTATCGCTTAAGCATTGCTTCCTCCTCAAGAATGTTTTTGTTTTTTGGGCTCATCCCACTCTATCTAGCAGGATTGCAACCATCAGTTTATTGGATCAATCAATGGGGCTAATATTAGTGAAGCCCAACATTTAACTTCAAAATCCACCAGTGGCAGTTGAAACTTGTTGCCATTACAAAATCCAAAAGTAACATTTAGAGAAAATAAAGAATAAAACTCAACAGTATATTTATAGTGATGTTCCTTTATCTTAAAACACGTATACAATGAACGCTTATTAAGACATAAGAACAATTTTCTTATTAACTATATTTATTATTTATAAACTCTAATGGCTGCAATTTTGGGCTAAGTGAAGGGAAAATGAATGATAATTTCATTCGTTCTTTCTTTTCATAGTGATAGAGCCTTATGCTGAGGTCCATTTGGAAGTTAAGCTAGATCACCCTTGCCCTCGTAATACACTATCAAATAACTACGGCACAAAATGTGTATTTTGAGTTACACGTCATAATAGTTGTGAAGAATAGCCAATAACGAGTAAAATGAATTAAGGCACCGAGGCATTGTTAGAAAGTAATTCAACCTATAGAGTAAAACATAAATTTCAATTATCTTGTGTTCACACGGTAGTATAATATTCTTGTCGTTGTCGAATTCTTACGGTTGTCGCTCCTCCTCTATCATTGAAATTGGTTAAGAAACACTGAAAACCAAGCTGAGAATAACTAACCAAGTTTGGCAACTCCAATAATACAGACTCGAAACATACTAGTGTCCCACTATTCCATATGAAAATGGTTCAGTCAAAGAACAAATGAAGCCCACTAATGTCAAAGCACCAACCAAAGAATTGGTTTGCTGTCCTTCAATCAATAATGATGTTGAAGACAAGAGCTACGAAGTACATCAGAAACGCAAGTTGCAAATTGCAAGGGGAAAAAATCTTAGAACGTCAAAAATTTTGGTTTTTTGGGCTTTATTCAAGGCAAGATTCAACTTCCTTTTTTAAATTACGGACAAAAGAATAAATTCTGACCAAAATTTCTGAACAAACGCCATTGTACATTCTTCTTAAGAGTACAATATGAGATATGTTCTGAAAACTTAAGCAGCCAACATACCAGAAGAAGCAGCTTCTTTAGAGTTCATGGAACAAAAGAGATTCAAGACATCTGCATGATTGCGGATGTAACGCGGACATTTAGAGAGGAAATTTTGTGCTTCATCATGCCGTCCATGCTCGAAAAAGGCTTCAAACATTCGTAGAAACACAGATGTAGATGGGAACCTCTTTGATGTCATCGCCCTGAGAAACAGTATGGCATCATCACCACTTCCACATTTTGACAAGTGTTCAAAAAATGGATCAGTGTAAGGTGGAAAACCGTGGTTTCTCATTAAACCCAAAATATTTAAAGCATCTGCAAATCCTCCCTGAACCAACAACTTAGTTACCAACAGCTTGTAAGTAGAACGCCGGGGCTTTAACTCTTTTTCATTCACCAGTTGACAAAGAATCTTGCATGCATCTATTGCCTTATTCATTTGGCAATAAGAATTCACTAACAAATCAAAAGTATAGCCTGAAGAAGTGACCCCCTCTTTCTCAACCATCTCTTTAAAAGAATCAAAAGCTTTGTCAAGGTTCCCAGCTACAGTGTGTCCCTCGACCAAAGATTCCCAAGTCTTCTGATCTGGATTAGACCCAGATGCTTCAATTCTATTCACGAACTCGTGAGCTTGTTCCTTGTTACCAGTAGAACTAAGTTGAAAAGCAATTTTCCTCCGTAAATTACCACTAGCAACAAACCCACAATCTTCCATTTCTTTCAAAACCTTGTTCCACTCTCCAATCCGACCAACACTGGTTAAAGACTTCAAAACAGCATTAACCATAGCATCGGTCACAGCATTCCCACTTCCAGTAAAAACCTTCACAACCCTTGAAAACAAATCCATATCCAACTGCTTACCAGCAACAACCTTTCTCAACAGAAAGGTTGCACACTGTGGCGAAGGTTTATTTGCGCCAGCCATAGCAAACTCATAAAGTTCCACAGCATCCTTAATCATTCTCCTTTTCCAAAACCGCCCCAAAACCTTAACAAATGTCTCAACCTCCATCTCAAACCCGGCATTCCTCATATCACCAACAAGCTTCCAAAACCGATCAATCGAGTCCTCCCTCCCCAACACCCTCGCCATCGCATTATAAGTGCATCCATCATGCTTAAATATCTCACTCTCCTCCAACCACCTGAAAAATATCAAAGCCTTCATCGGTTCAGAACTCAAATTCTCCAAAACCAACTTAACCATTTCGCCAGAGAACCCAACATTCAACTCCCTAATTTGCCTCTCAACATCATCATCCCACACATTGTGCCGCACAATCCTACACACTCTAGAAAAACTCTTCTCATTCGATTTATCAAACAAACCCTTCAATTTCATCACATCACCATCCATTCCACCCTTTTCAAAACACTCCAAAACTCTCTCTTTCACACCCTTGGAAATCCCATAACCCTTTTTCTTCATAACACCAACCATTTCCCAAAACTCATCAACAAAACCATTGGTCCCCAAAACGCGCAGCATCGAGTTGTAGCATTTGGAGCTCAACTTCTCGGGGTCGTTTTCCGAAACCCATTGGAAGAACCTCCGTGCCACGTCAGCATTGGAATCGAGCTTCCCCAGAAGCGCGAGGACAGCGTCATGATTAATCGAAACGCGATTCGAATCAAGGAGATTCTTGACGTCGTCGGAATCCCTATGTTTCGAGAAAATTTCGGCGACAAGGACGTGATCGGAATCTGTGTGTGCAAGAACGGGTTCGGAAGAGAAAGAGCGAAAGCTAGGGTTTAAAGGGAACGTGGAATTGGTGGTGAAGCGAGGGATAACAGAAGAGAAAGAGCGAAGCACCTGAATGTGTTGCGAATGATTGGAAATGCGATGATGAGAACGAAGAAAAGGTTGAAGAAGACGCCATTGGTGTCTCATTGCTGCAAACAACGAATCGAGCAATCGAGATTTTGAGTGAGAGAGAGAAAAGAAGAGGAAGACAGAGAAGCACTTAACTAGGGTTTTAGGGGATACCCATTTTGCTGCTTTTTTTTTTTTGTGATTTGTAGATTTGGATTCTGATTTAGGCTTGGGAAATCCATTGGGCTTCATCTTTTTCTATTACTATGGTCTTCATAGGTTGAGGAAAATATTATTTTAAGGTAAAAAACTAAAATAATATTTAAAAACTATTTTTAAAATTTTTGACGGTGTTTATATTAAAACATAAAAATGTAAAAATATTATCTACTCTCTAAAATTATATTATCGGTTTTATTAGACTTTCTCGTGGTACATATGATTAACCGTAGTTCTTAGAAAATTATGATCAAATTCAATGATTCTTCTCAATTAAGATTAGGCTTTTTCATTTGAAGGGATTAATTTATTTATCACTATTTTTTCAAAAAACAAATGTTTGGATTTACTCAAAGAAGAAAATGATTTTGTATTTTTAAGTGTTTGGGGTTGGAAAAAGCTGTTTTCAGAAAATTGATTTTTATAAATAATTTTTTGTAACAAATGAAAGAGGATATTATTCTCATTTGCTTTATGCTAATTAATTTCCATGAAATAAATGGAACAATAGTATTTTTCGAAATTCTTTTTCAAATTATTTGGTATACAAAACGAAGGAGATTTTGTTACAACATTGATTCATTGGTATTATTAAACAAAACATCTTTAAAGATTAAAACTATTTGCATTATATTATTTGCCTTCTTTCGATGTTATTGGGATTCCACTCCAAAAGTTTTTGGAAACATGAGATTTGGATGAAGTTATATGAACCAAGAACATGAATGAAGAGAATAAAATCCAAATAAAAAGAAATGAAGTTGAGTAGTAGTTATAAGGTACCATAAGCATGTTTACACAAATGGACGAAGGATTTTTACACAGCTCTTTAATTGATCAATATATAATTGCTGAATAAAAAGACACCAAACAGAACACAATGCAATGGAGCCACATGTGACTCAGAATGTTGAAACTCAAAAGCCATCTGCAAAAAGGTTTGTGCTTAGTAATCTTGTTGATAATATCATTTTCTATATCAACAATCATGTATAAGAATTTCAACTTAAAAATAAGGTTTGTTGCATTATTTAATCACCCTTTTTTTTCCTTTTCAATTCATTGTTAAGGCTAGAGGATAAGGTGGCAATTATAACTGGTGGTGCAAGAGGAATTGGTGCTGCCACAGCTAAATTGTTTGCAGAAAATGGAGCACATGTTATCATTGCTGATGTGCTTGATGATTTGGGTGTCACAGTGGCTGAATCCATTGGGGGACACTACATACATTGTGATGTGTCAAAAGAAGCTGATGTTGAATCAGCTATTAACCATGCATTGGCATGGAAAGGCCATGTAGACATAATGTTCAACAATGCTGGAATTTCTGGTGATGAAGAAAGAAGCATCACAACCCTGGATATGGACCAACTAAAGCATTTATTTTCCATCAACCTTTATGGAACCATACATGGAATCAAACATGCTTCAAGGGCAATGATCAAGGGTCAGAAAGGAGGATCCATCATATGTACTTCTAGTGCAGCATCCATCATGGGTGGCTTGGCTTTACATGGGTATACCATGTCAAAAGCAGCAATGGATGGGTTAGTGAGAAGTGCTGCTTGTGAATTGGGAGTGCATTTGATTCGTGTTAACTGCATATCTCCACATGGAGTTCCCTCTGAGATGCTTCTTAGTGCTTGTAGAAGGTTTCAGAATGTTGATATTACACCTGAAAAATTGAGTGAAACTATTGGAAAGAGAGCAAGTTTACTTAAGGGAAGAGGTGCAACCATCGAAGATGTGGCACAGGCTGCTTTGTTTTTGGCTAGTGATGAGTCTGGCTTTATAACAGCACACAATCTTCGTGTAGATGGGGGACACACATCAGCTGATAGTAAAATGAGTTACATCTACCAAGACCCGAAATGAAGAGAAAATACCAATCAATAAAACTAGCTTTCATTTGACAGGGAGACACAAGAAAGTGAATTAGGCTTTGTTCACATTCAACTTGATACTCTTTAACCTTTTATCTATTATATAGTTCTTTAATTTCCATTCGAGAATAATATATGGTTTCTTCATGGTGCCTTAGCATTCCTTGACATTTCCTATCAATTCTCTTGTATTGTTATTTGGTTACTCCATCAATACATTTTTTCTTTCCAAATTTCACTTGTATCTTTTAATATTATTTATAGAAAACTTTGAATTTTTTTTTAATCATTTAAAAACCAAGTATATACTTTAAAATGTATGGAGCTTCATGACTTTGATCTTGAACATTTGTTTGACTCCCCACACATATTCATTAGAGCTCAGAGGTGATGTAGTTAATCTTTGAAGTTTCTTCTCATATGGATCAAATTAACTCGCAATATCAAAATTACGCCTACCTACACCACAGGATTTGCCACACAAAATGTAATCCATGCTTCAATTGACCAAACTATTAGATAATTTTCTTGAAAAGAACCAATGTTTTCAAGAACAATTTCCATAAACTGTAGTAAGTTGGTCCATCCATTCAACCTCATATAAAATACATAATTCCTATTTTTATCCTCAGCCTCTCGCTCTGTCCTTGAAAAATTAGATTATTTTTAATGTTTTAAGAATGTTTTTTACAGAAATTATGCTGGAACACTTGCATGCAATTTTTGGCAAGATGAGAAGAAAAGAAAAGCACAAATAAGTATGAGCTTGTTTTTAATCAATCACTGCAATTTGATTGAATTGGGCTACAATGGTCCAAAATTTACTTAAGAAAGAAAGACGATTTAGGAGAACATGTTGATCATAATTTAATAAATTGAGATAATTAGTTATTGATATTTTAGGAGGCCTTGGCTTTTGACCTTAGTTTGTTGAAACATGATCGTAGGTAATTAGTAGCTCAAAATGACTAAACACCTCTTTGATTTGGTTTAACTTTAAAAGTTTCCTTCATGATTAAAATCTAGAGAGTATTAAATTATTTAAGATAAAACTCGTTATTTAATTAATTACTGACAGCTACATCATAGGAGTTTCTCTTGTTGAAACAACCAAGAGTTACTCACAAGACCCGTAAAAGGGAGTCCCACACAAATTAGAGCATCTTTTTACATAATGCCCTTGTAAACAAGAAATTAACAAGATTAAAAAACAAAAACTAAGTTAATCTGGATGATCAAGATCCATCCCGCTTAACATTTCACTTCTTGTTCAAGCCAGTTGCATTCTTAACAGCATCAGCAGCTCCTTGGGCACCTGCCATCACCTGTTGACCAGCCTGCAAACAATATAAAAAAACACACATATTAAAGTGGATCAACTATATAATAAAGCTAATATTAACTTAGATCTAGTCTAGTGTATAACCAAACATGCATGATACTCACAATTTCACACCCATTTCATAGATTAACAATTTAACAAAGCATTAAATTTGATGAATAAAAAATTGGAACCTCTTGTATGGTTTCTTTAGCAGACTGAGCAGCATTGCTAGCCATGTCCATCAAGTTGTTAGCCTTTTCCTGTAATATATACCAAAAAACATATATGGGTTATTAACTATTACATAAATTGAGAACACCCAAAAAACTAAATTTGAGTGAAGAGTTAGAAAACCTGAGCTTGGCCTGCGGCCTCTCCAGCTTGGTAGTTCATCTTCTGAGAATCCATCTTCTGGGAATCCATCTTCTTTGAAACTGTAATGAATGTAATGAAGATAAAGAATAGTTCTAGTTTGAGATGAAGATGAATGTTCTTGCACTCTATATTTATATGCAAGTTTAGCAAAGAGTTGCATTGCACAAGCTTTTGCTACCACATGTTTAAGGGGCCACGTGGAATCCTAACATTTTCTTTGAGCGGTTCTTGGGTTGTGCTATTTTTCAGGAGATGCTTTAAACCGGTTCACGAGGAGTTCTGTGGAGAACTTTATGTTATTTTCTGGTAAGTGGTTGCTGATTTCATGTATGAACAAATTCTCTCTAGTGAAAAATAGACATGTTCTTTAGAAAAATGTTTGCGCAGCATTGAAAGTGAACAATTTTTAGGTGTCCTTATTATAGTTTTTAAATGTGTATAAAAAAAAGAAAAATAAGAATACTAATATACAATGTTAAATATAATATTAATTTTTAGGTAATTCAAATAGTTTCCTCTCATATTAATTTTTTTTAAGTTAAAAAAATTCAGATACCGTACATTGATTTGGACGGTTTGAGTCCATAAAATAACTATGAAAGAATCTACAAGCATTTTATGATACTTTGAGCAATTTTTATGCATTTTTTTTATATATCTGCTTATACAATTTATAACTATTGCCAACAACAAACACGAGGCTGTGAAATCTTTTGTTGTGTTTGGCTATTTATTTTCCTAATTTTTTAATAGTCATTATAATGAACAAGACATGAGATTTCTTATATTTCTTCCGTTTTTATATGTCAAATTTTCTTTTCTTACATTTATTAATTAGCGTATGCATTAGCACAATTCAGTTCATCGAAAAAATTGGAAACATATACTAAATCATGTACAAAGGAAATAATTCTCTTCTGTACATATATATATATACAAAAAATTGTAGTAATTTTTCTATTTATAAATATTTACAATTTTTTATAAGATTAAATTTATTTTTTTTTGCTATTAAGATTAAATTTATTTAATATTTATGAAGAGAAAGATAAATATAAAAATTTTATATTATATATAAAATTTATGTAAAAAGTTAACATGAAAAAAATCTATTTTATAAAAAAAATTATATTAATTGTAACACTACATATGTTTTTCAAATCTTTTTGCTATTATAATTATATGAATTTATGAGTCCTAAGATTTCTCGAACAGCTTTTATTGTAACATTAATATCCATCATCTATGTATACTGAATTCTTGTCACAATTAGTGTAAAAATTCTTTGCGCATTAAGTTTTCGAACTTGTTTATCATTTTGAGTGTTAGATTCAAGTGAAAATTGAATTTCAAGTTAAATGAAATATTGATAAGTTAGAGATCTATAAAAAGATAGATCATACACTTATATTCTTACAATTTTGATGTTACATTATAGTGTCTTATTCATTATAAAAGAAAAAAATATAAATATTTTTTTGCTTTTAACCAAAAAATATGTCACCAAACTTCTTTATGATATTGATTATTATTTAAACTTAAGTCAGAAATATGTACCTTAAAGATAAAAAAAGAAAAAGTTAAAAAAAACCATTTAAAAGTTACGTACATTAAAGGTGATAATAAAAAGAAAAATGATAGTTTTGATTTGGACTAATTTATTTTCTTTTATTTATTTTTCAAAAACTTATTTAGTTTGATATATGTTGTTTCAAGAATTTTTCTCTGACACATAGTTAGCCTAAGCCTAAATAAAGATTGTGGAGCCGTAGTAGATAGGTTTGGCATATTATTCCATATTGTTGGAAAATATTTATACTTAGCTAGTATTTCTTCTCAAATAGCTCCTCTTTAATCACAACTTCACATTTGGTTTCAATCATAAAGTGAACTATATATTAAAATGATTTCATGTTAAGGCTTCATATATATGATCATTTATATTGAACCAACAAGGTTGATAATAATATTTAGTTTGTTTTAATATTTAAGTCGAACTTGAGAATTTGAATGTCAACTTATTAACATGGAGAACAACTCATTAAGGATAAATGTATTTGCATGATTCAAAAAAATTCATTTTCTTGTTGTAAAAGAATTATCTTAATATATATATTTGTCGTTGAAATTAACATTCTCATTAGGGATCGAAATGGAATTTAAAGTTTTCTGCACGCAGATGAATCTGATTTCAATAGACTTATGAGAAATTAATGATTACATTTGTGAAATGAAATCAATTTATGATAATGTGTGAGATTAACATGAACACATAAATCTAGGGTTGAATCAACAACGCATGTAGCAATGTGAAGAAAAACCAAATGTAGCAAAATGGTCCATTAATCTTCACTTATTCAATGCATCCTTCACTGCATCAGCAGCTCCTTGTGCCTTGGCCTGGGCCTGTTGACCAGCCTACACAAAATAAAATAAATATCACTTAATTTTTCAAATCCATTTTATGCAGAAAATTCATGTATGGTATTAAAGATGCTAATACATTGGTAGATGGCTAAGAAGTAAGAACCATTTTAGAAATTAAAGTAGAAATTAATGAGTGAAGCTTAAGCCTTAAGGTTTGGCTTTCAATACTAGAGTTTCACTTATTTTTAATTTTAAATTATGACATAATTCATATATTTATTATAGGCCTTTTTTAATAATCCTATCATAATGTGTTTAAAAATTTGTCTTATAATTTAAAAAATTTATTTAAGTATTTATCTTTAATTCATATAGACAAGCCCATAAATTTATCAACACATATGACGAATACTAGCGATTAACACATTCTTTAACACATCATTTTTTATTGATCAACTTATTAAAAAGTTAAAATAATTTTTAAAAAGTTATTAATTTATAAGGTGGGTGCCTTGAGTTTTTAAAATGTTAATCAATCATAAGGTGTTATTTTTATAGTAATTCTTATAGTTATTATTTTGCTTGATAACTGTTTTTAAACATTAAATTTTATTAGTTTAATTATTAAATAATGTGATATTAATATGTTGGTCATCCATAACAAATTTTAGATAAATTAAATGGTTATAAAAATATAGTTTTAAATTCAATATTTACTTCTAACAAAGAAATATATATTCAATATTTACTTATAATTTAAAAAGGTATATTATTATATGCTAAAATAAATTTGTTTAATAAAATATCAATTAATTTTTTATTTGTATGAAATTTTTATGCACGTAATTTATTTAATAAAATATTTTAATTAAACAGTTAAATTAACAAAATTTAATATTTATAAAGAATTATTAAACTGAATAATATTGATAAAAATCACTCTCAACCATGTTTATATAAACAAGCTAACTCACCAAGCTTAACAAGCTTTAATTTATAAAGGTTTAAAGTCAAGTTTATTTAATCAGATCAGTGTCATGCTAAGTTAAGCCTAAAACAGATCAGGTGTCCTATGCGATAATTATTTTCACCCCCATTTGCAAATTAACTATCTCTAATAAAAAAAAATCTAATAGTTCAAAGCCTACATATAATATGTTAACACAAATAAATTAAAACTTGTAGAACCTCTTGGATGGAGTCTTTTGTAGACTGAGCAGCATTAGAAGCCTTGTCCATCATGTTGCTCATCTTTTCCTATAAGATAAACAAGCAATTAATTGTAAGCACTAAGCACTTATATGTATGAATAGATTAATCAAGAATTCAAGACAGCAAGAGACAAATTAAAAGAAGAGAAACGAAATTAACCTGAGTTTGGCCCTTGGCCGCTCCAGCATTGTAGCTCATCTTCTGGGAGTCCATATCTTCTTTTCTAAAGTGTATTGAATGAACTAAAGATATCAATAATTAGTTGTTATGTTTGAGATGCAAATTAGCTTGCAAACTCTTAGATTTATATAGCTTTTCAAAACATTGCATTGCCCAACACGTGTTTTCCCTCATTCTTCGCTTTCAAAATTGAAATTTTCAATGTGCCCTCTTTCCACGGTTTCTAGCTAGGACAAAGTCATGCCATTCTAACAAAGGTAAATATGGAACACTTTTTGAGTGCACAAAACTTTTATGTCTACACACTCTCCTCAAATGTGGATGCAATTTCGGGTTTGAAGCTAATCCACAACTTATTTCCTTTGTTCTTCAATTTATTAAGACTATGTATGAATCCCATGAAGCTTCTGCTAGTTAAAGCAGCATGTATAATATAGAGACAATATTTATTAGTTTCACTTTCGGATTAGCTATGTTCTTGTGGTCTTTCATGGGCATGCATGCTTGTAGAATATCTTACATGAAAAAATCTTTTTTTTCTTTCGTTTAAGAAAAATTGCTTAAAATTGGATTCAGTTGTACAACATAGGAAAAAAAGTGTATAACAGGGATACTTACACTCATTAAATGAACCAACCAATGCATTGATGGATCCAAAAAAAAGATGTGGGGGTGAGAAATATTTAAAGTAAAAACTAAAATAATTTATACTATTATAGTCATCTTATCAAACAAATAGTGGGGATAAACATTGAAGCAATTGAGTAACATTGAATTTAATATCTCTGGATATTAGGGAGAATTTATACATGGGTGTGGAACATCCGAATAATTTAAAAATCACCAAACAATTTCGTACTGAGAATACCTATACTATCAAGAAAAACTTTTTGTAATATAAAATTCACATGATTTATTGATAGTAAAATGTTTGGCATGGACAATAAATATTAAATCGATCGATATTAGTCCATCAAAAAAGACAAAAGATGGGACGGCAAAACTGATAGTTAAGCGTTTGTTCCAAGTTTGTGATTACACTTTCAGGAATATTGTCAAAAACACTATGATCAAGAACATATTCTTTTATATATTAAAAAAAAGGAATATTATTCTTGAATAAATTTAAAAATATATCTTATTACCATAATATTTCTACAAATGTTTTCAAATTTATATAACTAAAAGAAAAAAAAAAACTAAAGATGGGGAAAAAAATATGGTAATAATAAGGTGGAAATTAATGATTGGATGGTCCCAAAATAACTTTATTTGCATTTAAAAAATTGAAGAAAAATACTAAGCAGTATTTTTAAGACATTGTTTGATGAATCAAAAATTAAAAAAAATAGTAAAATGTGTTATTAATGTACTCTCACTGTGATTTTTAATATATATTTTAAATTTTTTAATCAATGTTCTTTAAAAAGTCTATATATTTTTAAGTCTAAACTGAAATAAGCATGTGATAACAATACTTAAAACTATCAATAAAGAAAATGAAGGAAACAATATGGAAGAATTTAATTATAATAGTACATGTATATATTTATATAACAATGAAATATAGGTGCAACACCCTTGAACAAGAGATAGCATCCACATGAAGATTTATTTAAGTAATAAACATAACACTCACAACATAACCCCCAAATTTATTTAAGAAATAACACTTGGCACTGAAGATAAACAACAAAACATAAAAAACCATAACTATATCTCCCTCGCTTCCTCTTCGTTCTCATCCTCACTCCAGCAGCATTTCAGAATAGACCTGGGAGATCCACAGCCATCAGCAAGAGAAAAGCTATAGTACACAACTGCACCTCCTGCTCCAAGCACTTCATTGCTCCTCTCTTCACAGTAGTATCCTTTAATGTCCAATGGAAATTTGTCAAGTTTTTCACCATGCATGTCAATGTGCAAAGCAACAGAAAACTCAGCTGGACGGAAGCATGCTAAAACCCTTTCAACAAGCTCAGTCAGAGCTATATCTTCATCATAGTCATAACCCACAGCTTCAAAACTTGCATAACTGAAACCATCTTCAGGGGTGACATGGATAGTGGATATTGCACTACCCTCTATTCCATTCATTGAATACCCACAAGGATCAAATTCAAAATCACATATATCAGATTGTGGAAGGATCTTCCTGATTCCAGAATTTTCAGTCATCAAAGCAGCTGAAGATGTATTACTTTTGAAAAATACAGATGCGCTTTTCTTATCTAAACCAGTCATGCACATCTCAAGACCATACACAGCTTCTAATGAGCCTTCTGGTTGTGCACTTGCAGAGTAGACATGCCAAATCTGTGACTTGTTAGGGTTACCCATAATATAAGCTTTGCTACCAGAATCAAGGTTGCTAAAATAACTGTCAAGAACAGCAACTTCCTCTGAAAAGCTACGATGAGGGAATGGCTGTGCACCAGGGAAAATGAAGCTTCCACGAGTGTACCTCACGGATTTCACAGCAATGTCAAGAGCATCAGCAAATTTAAGAATGACAGGGATGGACAGAAGCAATTTTGTAGTCCCACAAGTTTTGATAATAATTTTATAAGGATAAACAAATAGACTTGACTCCGAAAGAACATAAGAGTCAACATAATCATTTGAAAGTGATGAAACAATGGTGCACTCAGCTGGGTTCAGAATCTCATCCAATTGATCTTTACACAATGCTCGGAGGCCTAATCCTCTAGGGTCAGCAAACGCACCTCCCTCAAAAAATGATATCTCAAGCCTCTTTTCGTAGCCTTCAAAACCAATAGCTGAACTTGTCAAGGCCATCTTGACTCAAAGAAACAAAAATCTTGGTGTGCAGATAGAGAACAAGAAAAGCAAGGAAGAGGACACAAACAAGAAGAAAAGGAGACTAGAATAATATAACAATATGCAAAATCAAGGGGCTATGTCACAACCAACCAAAACTCAGGATGGTTTGCGGATGCACTGCACAGGAAAAAAATATTAAGTGTTAATCAACAAAATCAATAGACATTAAATGTTTCCATTTATCAGGGAAAAAAACAACGAAATAGAAACTAACGTTGGAGTATGCAGCAGATCTGAACTTCTTGATTCCACCGTGTGGTCGAACGTCTTCAATGATGTAATCGAGAGGAGCTTCGTACAAAAAGGACTTACTACTGGACTTCTTTTTACCACCCTTAGACTCCATCAGTTCATTCAGACCTTCCTGCCAAAAGAATAAAGCAAAAAATCCATGACCAAATAGGCCAGTAATTACAATACAATCATGATGTCTAGTTTTTTCACATGTGAGGGAGACTGAAACATATGAAATTATGAAAGGAAAATTGAAACTCTCAACAAATTCATCTTTTAACATAAACTAGTATAACCTCTCAAAATCTTGAATGAACAAATACATCCCTATTGTTAAATGATCATACCAATTTCATAACCAGTTGATAAACTCGGAGGAGTATTCTATAATGCAATCATGCCCATATTGCATGGAATACAAATCAACAGTATTAACAATTCAAAAAATGTTCCCAACCGACAGTATCATCAACATTTAAAAAATTAAATTAAAAATTATAAAAAGCATTGAGAACAATGAAGAACAAGAGCAAAAGCTTCCAATCAATTTTTTAAAAAAGAAAGTTAACATTTTTAATACCACAGAAAGCCTTGCAAATAATGCCACAACTCCCGAAAAAGTAAAGTTTAATTCCGGCTCTCATTCAACTCATTAATTCGTTCAAAAATTGATCGATTCATAAGTATTCCTCCAAAACATAAACACGAATCTTAAAAAAAATAATAATAAAAATAAAAATCCGATACTTACTGTTTTAAACAATGGTAGACCAATCTAACTTCTCGTATATTCCCTCCTCGAATCAAACTTCAAATCAAAATTAACGTAAATGAATAAAAACAAAAGGTAAAGACAAAAAACAGAGCAAAAACAGAATCATCAGAAAATAGTTATTTTGCCACAAAATACAAAAACTCAAAATCAAAAAAAGAAAAAGGAAAAAGGAAAATGGTAATGCACCTACAATATTAAAGAAATTGAAGGAATGGAAAGGAATGCAGAGAAGTTGAAACAGAATGGGTTTTACAAATGAAAATTTGTTGGGTGTTAGCATGTCGTAGGAAAACAGAGGTGAAGCTTATATAGGGGTGGGGCGAATGTACAATGACGATAATGCCCCTAAGCTATTTTTTTTTCTTGCTTTCGCTTTCCGCGTCCTCCCAATCTTATAATTGGCAAAGAATCTCAGATTACGTGACAAATAAGTAATTGTCTAAATTTTGTTATGGGGTTAGATTAATCACCACTCATTTTTTAGATTTATGTGTTTCTGGTTTTTTTTCAATAAAATTTCATATTTAAATTTCATGTATACAAAAGTTACTGTTAAAAAAAATAAGTTTCATAATCTTATATCTTTTTTATTTAAATAATCCTTTTTAAAAAAATAATAAATTAAAATGTCAACAACTTTTAAAAAAATTAAAAAAATAGAGAAAAATAATGATAACATTGCTGATAATATTATATATATATATATATATATATATATATATATATAAAATAATACTTAATATTTGAGTCTTTAATTTAATTTATATTTAACGAATTATAATTTATTATTTTATTGATCGTTAAATATATATACATATAATATAATAAAAATTATAAATTTTATTTTTTTATTTTAGAGATGAATTTAAATTAAATCTCCGTTTGTCTATTCTTTTTCTTTTAATTAAGAAACATTGCTAAGTGGAACTAATTATAAAAAAATGTATTTAAAAAATATTATTTTATTGAAATGTTTAAAATATTATCATCATTATTTTTTTTCTTTTACTTATCAATGTTAAAGTAAAGCTAAAAGAGAAATTATGATTTATTAATTTTTCAAAAATAACAAATGAAATGAGGGAAAAAGGAGTTTTAAGTGAAAGGTAAAACAAATAGGTGAAATATTTATCAGATAAAAAGTCCAATGGAATATGTATAGGTTCATGTACTAGAATTTAGATAGTTAATGTGAGAAAGTGTGTGAATAGTGAATTGAATCAAATTGAATTGATTCTGAGGAGAAAAAAATTATTTTAACTTTATCTTTCCTTTTATTAGTTTAGTTTTAAATTCAAATTTGATATGATCTAATCAAATTTAAAGTGGCTTAGTATAGGTTTTCTTTTATTTTCTTTTGTTTAAATTAAGTGGAAAAACAAATCTCATTTCATCTCTTTTATACATTTTCCCACAAAACATTTATCTTAATTTAAACATAAAAATTATATAACAAAGTTAAAACACAATACCGAAAAACATATTTTAAACTAATTTAAAGTTAATAAACTTATAAACATATCACAACAAGAAAATATAATACAGGTTAATTATAAGACATAAAGAAAACAAAGTAGCAATTTCATGAATGCATACTTTGGCAAATATCAGTGTTATAATAGTTTTATAGATAAAACCATATACATAAATAAGTTTAGCTTAAACTGGGACTAACTCAATTTTCAAAGATGAAGTTAAACATACAATAAAATATAAAATTTTAAAAATGAATAGTTATAACAAAGGGGTGTGTTAAAGATGTGATTTTCAAATAGGAACAATAAGGGGTATACGTGTGCGTTTGTGAACAATATTCGAGTTAGAAGAATCAATGAAAGTGAGTTGGTTCCCTTAATATTTTTGTCTTTGGTCTTTTATCCTTTGTTTCTTAGCTTTCCACGTTCAAATTTTATCGTTTTTGGCCCCATTGCGAATCACTTCCTCATTAGGATCTTATTTTTGGGTATGGGTTACATTTTATCGTCCAAATTGCATGCTTCGGTGCATATGATTCCACGTTAACATCATCACTCACAATTTCATAGTTGACACAATCTTTTTAAAGTGGAATATATTTTATCTACTTCTGTTTTTCTTTATCATATTTTTTTAGAAAAAATATAATATACTTGTTTTATTCCATTGTCATGTTATTTTTCACTTTTAATCGAAAAACATTTATATGTTATACTCTTATCTTATTTTAACACTTTATATTGTTATCTTCGTTGAAGCTTCAACCTTGAAGAAAAGATTCATTGTATGATATTTTTGTACATTGTCATCAACTCACAACTTCAAAAGAATATAGAAAATGTGGGAATGATCACTTTATATAGTTGTGGTTCAATTGCCCTAGACGCTTGCAAGTCTTCACTTTTTAGATATCTCCAGATTAAATCACCTTTTCAACATATTTTTATCATATTATTGCTTCAGTTCCTTTACAAGTTTGGATATCTAGTAACAACCAATACATAGATAAAGCATGGAACACTATATCACATAAAACAAATATTAGATTATAAGTGCACTTAATATGGTCAATTGTCATGTAATATACATTTTAATATCATAATGCATTATTGGGATGTCCACTATACAGTTTATCCGCAACCCAAATTCTCTCTTTCTTTATAATTTCTTTCCCTTTTTTTAGGACTCCTTTTCATGTTGGCGAATGATGTCTCAACACTTGCAATTCAAAGTGAAATGCAAGATTGTACAGTGTTAATCCTACTAATTCAATATTACTTAATGCTTAAAAAATTTTAAAATAGTAAAAATTTGTGCAATTGAAACCCCTTTTCAAAAAAAATTATCGTATGGTCTCTGACCAACATGCTCTCAACTAATAAAACATGATACTATGTACTCTTACAAAATATTGAAAACATGATGAAATATAAATAGATGAGATTACCTAAAAATTTCTTCTTTTTAAGACGCTAGAGAAAGACAAACACATAGTGTTCTTACTTATTTTAATTTACTAATGTCATATAGAAATATAAAAAAAACCGATTGTATCAAATATTAAAATATCATGTTGATGTTTTAAAATGTTGTACAGATGATAAAACATTTTCCTTTTCTTTTTTTTCCCTTGTTCTGTAGCCCTTCCTTTTTACGTTTTTGTTTTTGGTCAACTTTTTGCGTTTTGTTACGTACAGCAACAAAAAAAAGAGTGTTGATTGTGCAGGTGCTGTGTTGCTCATTTAGGCCTGTTTCTTTGTGGGCCTTGTATCGTGTTGTGTTGCAATTTTTGGTAAAAACAGCCTAGTTCTGCTAAAAAAAACTAAAAAACAACTGAATCCTAATAGACTAGCCCATTTCTTTTTTAAGCCCTTTTCTTGTATAAAAATTTCATTCTAGAATCCTCTTTTTGAAAATAATTTTTGAAAGTAATTTATTATCTTTTAAAAAAACTTTTAAAAATATATGAAACCCTCTTTTTGGAAGGGTACCTAATTTTCTTTTTTTTAAAAAAAAAACTTTATATATATACATATGTATAATCGCTGAAAGACCTAGCCTGGCATGTGCATGTAACTGGAACATGAATATGATTACCTCCTATAAATATACATTTTATGTGGTCCAAAATAATCCATAATATGTGTGATATGAGTTTTTTTTTCTTCTTCTTGGGAGATACCATAATGCAGAACATTCATTACAATTTCTCAAACAATAAAAATATAACTAATCTACCAAGAAAAAATATAACTAATTATTCAGAACATGCATAATTAATTGCACGTTTTTACAAGAAAAAAATTATATATTATTTTATAGAGTCTGGTCAATCAATTAATATTAAATTTTCATTTTAAAAAATATATATTTAATATTACCAAAATAAAAATTTTAATTTTAATTGGTGAATAGCAGCAACAAAAGTTATATATGAGCTTAAACTTTATTTTATAAAATCGCTGTCTTTAGTAGGTATGCTCTTAAAATTCAAATTGTCACCACATGTTAATGGTGGACGCTATGTTTTGTGTGTTTCATTTCAGTGTCTGCGTCAAAGGAGAAAATCCATGGAATCCAACTCAGTCATAGTTGGGATGCAATCTTCAACTTTGAATTTTGTCCTTTGAATTGGAATAATAGTTAAGGGCATCTCACTTGTACTATTACTTGGAATAATAATAATTATTATTAATATATGTATACCATTTGTTTACTTTTCGGCTTGGGTCACTTTCATATGAGAAATTGCTGCGCATTTGGCCGTTCCATTTTTCATGTGCATCAAAGGTGCCCAAAAATTGGAGTGAATTGAATTTGACACTTGCCCAATTGTACTAAATGGTGGCATATTGCTTGCAGTTGTCATGTCTTCTTTTATGAAGAACAGCTACCACTTTTGGACTCTTCCTAGCAAATGGAACTAGTTGTTATCTCATCAGCACTTTTTTAAATGAAATGGACAAATTTGATTTGAAATTGATAAGGTTGGTACACAAATTGAATCTGCAACTTGGACTTTGATTTTCTGTCACCGGAATTGGAATCATGGTTAATTCAACTTTAGGATGCGAGTCACTTTGGAATTTAGAAATTGCAAAACTTTTGGGCATGCTGGTTTTTATATACCACTTCATAGAACTATTTCAATCCCTTCATTGTTGATCCGACAAAACCTGTAAATTTTTATTACACTGAATGTAATGTTTGAAGAGAGAGAGAGTGTGAAGGGATTTTTTTTTTTTTTTTCTATAAAAATATCATTTAGCGGTTAAAGATTTGTTTAGTTCTTCTGTAAATAATCGTAATGTGTTATGAAGAAAAAAACATGGGAAAGTAAATTTTTTATGTTAATCTAAACATTTATTCAACTTTATTATACGTTAATTCTTTTGAGGAAATCAAATCTCAAGTAACATATTTAGAAAAGAGAATGTTTATTGTCATATTCATATACTTATTAGTACTTTAATTTTTATAAAATATTCTTACTATTTATTTATTTATAAAATCACATCCTAAGCGTTTGATTTTGATGTGTTTGCTGCTAAAGCCTATGCAGTAACCGAGCTTGTTAATTTCCTCAATCAACTCAGCACACATCATTTTAACCGTATACGTCACTTCGTATTAATATGTCCAAATCAATTTAAATTAAATCTTTCAACACTACCAACGGGTGCCAATTAGCGAATTAAGGTACTAGCTTTGTATTTTTCACGTAACCTTGAGTATATATAATGTTATAAATAGTTTTATTTTGGTAATTTTGTAACTGCACTCTGCGCACACAAGTGGAATTAATAGACCGAAAAAATGGACTTTTCATTAACTCAATTGAGCATTTCATTGAATTGAATGCACAAATCAGACAGATACAGGATCCTCTAATCTCTACTTTGTACAAAGATTTGGCGAATCCTGTTGCCTAAGAGCAAGACATTATTACATCCCATTAATTAAACCCATCAAATTAAAAGACAGCAGCTTTTAGTCTCCTTCCCAACTCCTTCCTGTATACAAAACAAAACATCAATGTCAGAACAACATCAACCAAATGTTTCATGTTGCATGCCACATAGGAAAGTAGTTAAAATAATTACTAGAATGTTTTTTTTTTCCAATTTACCTCATCAGTTGCCTGTCAAAGCCAGAAGCAGCCAACATTCCCCTGTTCTCTTCAGCCCTCCTCAGAAGGTATGGCATAACCTTCTCCACAGGTCCAAATGGCATATACTTACTAACCTGAAACCCTGCATGGCTCAAACCAAAGGAAAGTGCCTCTGACATTCCATGTAGCTGTGCAAATTCAAGTTTGTGGTTCACCTTTCCAATTCCTAACTCGTGTGCTTTTGCAGCAGCCAATCTCCCTATGTAAACACCATAATTCAAAGTCAGATAAAAAACACACCATACCCACAAATTGAATTTTTCTTATCATAAACCATCACATCATAGCATAAATAGCCATGCATGTACCTGATTCAACATTATGAGTTGCGAGAACAACTCCACCAGGGCCATTGGCAATCTTCTCAAGCATGTATGATGAGCAATCATTGAAGCACTTGTGGGTATCTTGGATGGTATTGTGGATAGGGGATGCATAGCCCAAAGAAGCAGCCAAGCTTCTCTCACTTGACATATAAGCACCTCTCACAAGTTTGAACCCCATTGAGATTCCCATCTTATCTGCAGCCTCACTTGCAAGCATCAACCTCTCTTGGGCATCCTTAAGGTAAGTCTGAATGGTTCCAAACACTGTAGGATTGTCACCTTTATTGTGCAAGATGGCAGAAGAGTAGGTGAAGTAATCAATAGCAGGTTGAACTTGGGTGTGCTCGGCATCAACCAATAGAGGAATGCTGGCTTGCACACACTTTTGGCACAGTTCATGGAATCTCTCAAAAGCAAGTTGAAGATCACTCTCTTCTTGTGGAGTGAGAGGTTCAGGTCTCTTCCGAGTGTGGTACAAAGGGCTTGAATTTGAGAAAATGGGGAAGCAATCTTGCTTCCAAGGCAAAGTGAAAGAAGGGTCTCTGTGCTGCCATCTAAGCAAGTCACTCATTCTTTCAAGCAAACTCATAGGACATATTGCAGTGATTTTCACGATCACAAAGCTCACCTGTCACATCAAAAGACAATTTTGGAACCATTAGTGACTAACATCATCTCAATCACATAAAAAGAGCACAAGTAGCCACAAAATTTGCGTGGTCTACTAGTGCGGTAGTGCCTTTTACCAAAGAAAATTTACAAAGAAATCACTGATTCTAGTAGTCGTTGCATTCAGCTGCGCTGGAGAAAAAAACAACACTCCACAGTCACACTACCCCATTTCATGCACCTTCACCGAGACACCAATCACCAATCTTTGTAACATTTGTCCCTCCCTAGCTAGTAGCTACTAGTAACATTTTAACGGACTCGATTTCGTTCTTTAACTATTCCATCATATCATCGCTGCAAAGGTGGCTCCTGCACATATGAACGATGGTGATTTTCGCATCATCTCCCCCCGAACTACCCCCATCATCATCATCATCATCATTCTCTCTCATTTCAACAATGCCATTAAGTACACGTGTCAGTCACTCCCAGATCGCACCATTCTCTGCCGTCTGTTACATGCAAAAACCCAAGAGCAAAAACAAACAAACAACAGAAAAAAAAAAGTGTTCCTTATATACACGCTCACCATAATCCCCACACCATTTTTATACACATACGTTAATGAAAAATAGTTCTTCAACACCTCATTAGATGTATATACAAGAGACCAAATAAAAAAGTATTTTTAAATAAAAAATTATTACTTTTTACACTCAAACACATCCTTAAAAATTAAAATGAATGAAATCACTAAAATTTATATAATAATGAAATGACCAAAAGAGAAATAAGAGATATAAAATGCATAAACAGCCATTTATCATCTCTTTTTACTGTTCTTTTGGTCACTTCATATGACATATCATATATCCCTTTCTTGTGCTTTCATAATGGGTGTTTACAAAATATCTTTCATTGACAAAAAGATGGTGAGGAGAATGGTGAGCAAATAAGAAACGATTTAGAAAGGGAAAAAAAAACAAAAAGGGTAAATGAGAGTGAAAAGGGGTTACCGAAGAAGGGGGGAGCGATCTGCTGACGCGGACGGTGTCAAGGAAACCTTGGAGGTTGCGGTCACAGGCGTCGTTGTCATTAGCGTCTTCGACGCTGTAAACGAGCATGCCACGCAAACCGGCGTCGTTTAAGGAAGCGATGCTTTTGCCGGCGGTGGAAGCGTCCTCGCCGGCGCAGAAGTGGCTGTAGAAAGTTCTGCGTACGGCGGCGAGGACGACGTCACGGAAGCCCTCCATGTGCATGAGGTTGGATCTCATCAGCCACGTGCCGAAATCCACCATTGGTTCGAGGGCGGTGGCATGGAGCACGGCGGAGGAACGGAGGAGCTTCGGGGTGGATACAAAGGAGAAAAGTTTCTCCACGTCGTGAAGGTTGAGGTCGTCAGCGGCGGGGCGGAGCACGGCGGAGGATGGGGGTTTGGGGTCGAGGACACACGGAGGAGAGAGAGTGTGGGAGAGTGGCGCGTGCACTGTACTTGCTGTGTTGTAGCGGAGGTTCCTTAGGATTCTTTGAGGGATCACACGAGTGGCCATCAACGTGCGAAAACTTACGATGTTGTTGGGTTTGTGTTTCTCCCTTTTTTGTGTTCCTCTCTCTCTCTCCCTCTCTCTCTTTTGTGACCTTCAAATGCTATGAGATGCAAAATGTGAAGTTCCATGTAAGCTATGAGCGGCTTTTATAGGGTTAACTTCATGTCTTTGCTCACTCTTTATTTTTAGCAACTCTCCTTCAAAATAGGGTCCTTTTTTTTTTTTTCTTCTTTTTGCAAATTTTGTTTTAAGGTTATTAATCTTAGCATAGCGTGAGTTGAGGGATTTGAGTTGCAATTAATGAAGGGTCCAAATTCCATTGCTGAGACACATCTTACGTGGATACACCAATCCTAATCCTATTTGTATGGTTAGATTATGTAGATGATGCTGATATGTGATCTCTTTTCTCGCATCAATTAACACGTACATGTTACATATATATTATCTAACTAATCAATCAATTAAAAGCTTATTAAAATAGTTTTAATGCTTAATTTGATTATATTTATAATAACTAATATGCTTTACTTTTCATGAATAATAAGCTGCGCCGCAAACTAGTAGGCTAATGATAGGGTAGCAGTCTTAATTAGATAGGTACCGTTGTTCCATCTAATTAATTTGGGTATAAGTGTGTGTATAACGAAGGATAAACAACTGTAATTTTCGTAACAAGTTTATCTATTATGAGGATATATATAACACTCCATTTTAAGTTAGTTTGGGCACTTACAAACTATAAGTGTGAGATATGTTTAGAGTAGAGGTATTTCCATACTTGAGTCAACAAAGTTACATGCAGAATTAATGAACTAATCTTGGCAAAGCTTGATAATTTGGCAATGATGATCATTCTCTAGCTAATTTTTTTTCCTACCTATTTGTTTTGTTGATAGTTGGCACTATGGTATACTTATGTCAATTATTGAAATTGAATATTACTTTAATATTTATTGATTAATTCTGACCATAATGTATGGTATAAATTAATTCATGATTTATTTATTATTATATTTTAGCAACATATAATACACCCTTATTGAAAAATATCTTAATTTTTTATTTATTCATCTAAATAACTTGCAAGTTATAATTTAGTCAATGTATTTTTAATTATCAGATCGAATGATTTTGTATATTAAAGCGAGCATCCATTAAGTTTTATTTTAATAAAAGAAATTAAACATACACTTGATTATAATATACAATTTTATCAAAGGTCATGCTTACATATGATATCTTTATTTTTCGACTGGGGTCACTTTCCAGCTTAGAAATTGCAACACTTTTGGCCTTTCCACTTTGTATATACTTTACAGTCCTGAAAGGGGGACCTTATGTTTCATGTGAAGTGATACGATTAGTCTAGTCTCTCTATTTTTGTCCTGATGTATGTACCTAAAGATTCCTTGAAAAAAGAGAATGAAAGAGTAAGAAGAAGAATTGATAATAAAGGATAGAAAGGTAACTAGCTAAATTTCCATTCACAAAGTGTTAGTCCTACATTACAGAGTAGAATGGGTAGAAAAATTATCTGTCTACAAAAAAATTTCTCAGAAAATTTGAGAGGCCATGTCAGCAATTTTGTGCACAACTTAGAAATTGGGTAATAGATTTATTTAGCACATGCTACTAAGATCCTATAATTTGAACTATTTTTGTAAATAAAATTTTATGCAAATTTAGTAAATTGTGGTTTGTAGTGTACCAGTTAATTAAAATTAACAGCGATATGGTTTACTTTAGTAACTATAATAACTTCCACTAAACAGAATCTCAAATTGACCCTCTATTTTCAGGTTAAAAGACTTCATGATTTGTAGTTTGTGGTCGGAAACCACCATGCAAGTTGGTTTGAACAGTAAAACCGGCTTAATTCTAGCTTTTACTATTTGTTTGGGAGTAAAACTCTCCATCTAAACTAATTCATTAAGTGATTAGTGAAAGTTGTTCACTGAAAACATGTCCACTGCAGAACAAATTCCTTGTTATTTGCTGTGCTTCTTCAAACCTTTTCCTCATTTTTCTCATGTGTTTTTTCATATTTTCACACGTTTTATTTTTTCCTTTTCTTACATGCACAATCCCTACATACACAGCTAGACAAGTGTTAATGAAAAAAAAAAACTAAATGTAAAATGTTTCAGTCTAAAAGTATTTTTTTCTAGCAAATTTAGATTAGATAACAAAAATTAATAGTGGACGGATCTAGCAATATGATAGACATAGTATGTCTAAGGGTAAGTGAAATTATAAAGGGTGCGAAAGATTATAAAAAGATAGTAGGGTAAAATGGAAAAAGGAAAATAAACTAGTACCTTGTTAGCTTAAAAATAGTGGTACATGAATTAACATTTTCAAAATTCACTACAAAAATTCTATAAGTTACTTAAATAACTTTATTGACTGTCTAGTTTGATCAAATAAGCTTTTAAGTTAATCAAATAAGTTAGACATTAGCTTCTTCTTCTTTTTTTAACACACTTTTACTAAAAAAGAATTTTATTAACATTAATTCTTATGACTAAGTTTAAACATTCATAAATAAAAAATATTTATAAAAAAATACACAATTATTGTATTGAAGTTATAAAAAATATAATAAATATTTTTTTTAATAAAATTTTATTATTATTAACTGTTTATTCTCAATTCTAAGTATTGAAATTAATAAAATCTTAATAAAAAATATATAATTTCTTTTATTGGTACAAAGATTCCTAAGCAACATATATGAAACATAGTATCACCTACACACCATTAGACATGAATCAATAGGTATTGAAATTAAGCACGCCATTAGGCAATGAAATCAAGCACTACCATCAGGCATGAGTTGACATCGAAATTAACCAATGATATCTTATAAAGGGAATAATTGCATATGTAAAAAAGTTAAAGAAATTAAACTTAGAGCATGTTTGGCTAAATACAGTTCCAAGCACACACTAATTTAATAAATTTGGAAGACCTGTTTGATTGAAATAAAAATAAATGTTGTGCAATTTTTAGAATAAGTGTAATGAACTTATTAAAGTTAATCATGATCAGAAACAAGAGTTACTTAAATGAAGTATAAAAGAAGTAATTATCACAGTAAGATTTATTTAAAAAAAATAAAATAAAAAGACAAGCAAGTCATGGTGATTTTAAAGCAAAAGAAAAAGGTTTGGTTGACATGACAAATTTAAGGGGTTTGGGATCTTTAGCATTAGGATTTAGTTAGGTCTTTATTTATGCAGTGAATCCCATAAGTGTTTAATTGTTAAATACGTGTAAAAGTATTTAAGTAAAATATGTATGTATATGTTTAGTATGTTCAGTCGTATTATTCTTTGTTAATATGGTTAAAAACTTTGATATCTAATCCAAAGCAAGTGGTCGAAATTCAAGAATCGGTCAATTAATGAAGACAACAGTGATAATATGTCTAATTGTTATGTGGTCCAATTCAGAATCAGCTGTCGATGGAATATTGAACATAACTGGATGCTATTTTTCGTGAAATTGGGTGTTAAAAAACACTTGGATACCAAGATGGCAATTTTATATGTCAAATTGTTCGTAGCATACTCAATCACAGGATTTTTACTTCCAGACTCTCAAAATTTTATGTTCATTATCCAAAGCACACGAAAGTCATGTTTGTGCCAAAACATAAGGAGATCAGCGCTCCTCCCAAATTCTCTTCCTTCGTTTGTCCTCTCATATTTTGCGCTTTTGCATTTTTAGTTAAACGAAAATGCAAAAATACAGACACATGGGAGTTATATTCGTATCAAAACATGAAAAAATCCTGACTCCTCGTAACTTCTCTTCCTTCATTCGTCCCTCACCCTGCAACACTTCCTCTCCCTCTGACCAATAATTTTACAAAAAATTTAGAATTTGCTTTAAAAATAATAAAATTAAATCGTCCTGTTTTCGCATGACCTGATCTAAATCCGAGTGAATCCCACCTTTGAATCCATCTATTTTCAAAAGTTGTAATAACCACTTCCTTGTCCAATGGTGGAAAAAACTGTAGTCACTTTTTTTTTTCTGGTTATGTTTGTAAACATCCAATGCATTGGATCCATTACAAAGAAATTTGGAGAGGAACAGCAAAAATCACGCAACTTGCAACAAACATTTTTCTGTATAATGGTGGATAGAGTACAGATACAAATGCTACAGGCCAAACAGGACAACGCATGATATTAGCCTGAGAGAACCATTATGAAAGTGACTCCAGTATACAGCTACAAAAATCCAACTTTATGGTGTGCCGGGGTAGAAAATACAGTACTAAAAGATAAAATCATGACGTGTGGAGAAGGAGAAGGCCTATAATTATGCATCTCTGATATTCAACATATAAAAGCAAGGGAGAGAGAAAAAAACCTATGTTTAACTATTCTCCAAAGTTAACCAAAAAATGTCACTAAGAATGCTGTCACTCTATATTAGCCAATTGACAGTAATGTTTCCAAGCCATGTGAACAATGGGAACTGAGCCAAAGCAATGAAGAGCAAGAGATAGTGGTGTTTGCTTGAGTCATAACTCCTCACTTCTGCAAAAAGAACTCTCTTCATTGTTTTCACCAAGAATACTCCCATACATAAGCAGGTCCATGGCATCATAAAGTAGTAGGAGTAACTCCATATCATTCTTCCTGAAACAGCCAAACACATGCCTGGAAAAGTGTACCCGGCGTATGATATAATGTCCAATAGAGGTGCCTCCCCGGTGCCCAATGAAAGCAAAGTAACTTTAAGCAGTGCTGTTTGCATAAACCAACCAACTAATCCTTTGATGAATAACCAATTCAAAGCTTCAGGACTAAATCTGGCCACAAACACAGCATGTTTAAGAAACTGACAAATAAGAATGTATGCAGAGATGGAATGAAAACGAGCACAATAAACCAAACTAAATTTCACTGAAAGTTGCCAGAGTAAAGCTACAGAATTTTCAAAATAACAATCATAAAAATGAAATTAGTAATCTATATAACATCTAAGAAGAACATTACTTGTCTGACTTCCGATTAAGTTTTTTATATTTTTTTAGTTGTATACTAAACACAAAGAAAGGAAAATTTTGAACTTGATTAGAAAGAGAGAGAGAAGCCAAGACTCATTATATACACCCCAGACAAAAAATGGGAGGTGCAACTGTTCAACTCGGTTAATACAGTTCCATTTTTTCATTGCAAAGGTAGATAGCCATTTGACTTCTCCTTGCCACCACCGTACACAGAAACACAAAAATCCCTTTTATAAAATGATTTACCAATTCTTCATAATCATCACAGAGCAAATAAACTGAAAGCATAGTTAGCACAGACAAAAAAGAAAGAGGAAAACGGTTTTATCTATTCCTGTACAATTCTCCTGATCAAGGACAGTAGTAAAAAGTTTGCAACAGAGTTCCCAGTACCACTAATAGCATTTTTTTCCCCTTTGGTCACTTTTGCAAAGGCCATTCTCAGTAGCAAGTTTTAGCAAGAACACGAAATTTATTCAGCTGAAAAAATGCTAAGTACTAATCATGCTGAGGAAGTATGGAACACAGGGATGCATCCAGTCTAGGTGAAAAAATATAAGGTTAGGTGACAAGTTCTACCATATGCAACTCAACAATCCCCAAACGAGAGGGGGAAAAACTGTACAAGAAAAGAAGGGAAATATTTGTATACAATGAACAGTGACATGCAGTGTACAGCAGACACAATCTACAAGCACAACAAGGGGCTACGGTGGCTAACTTCAAATTTGAGGGTATTAGGGTAATATAATTCATTTCAGTACTATACTATAGAATTAAGTTGAAGGAAATATTATACTTACTTTCCCCGAAGGCCCAATGAGATGCCAGCAAGAACAACATAGGTACCAAATGCCATTAATGGAATATACAGGTCAGGTGCATTTATATCATAAATTGGTGGTTTATAAGAGAGCCTACCTCCCACTGGTTCAGTAATTCTTGTCCAATGACCCTGAACAAGAGAAGAAAAAGATAAGGGCAAGCAAGAAGATAAAATAAGATAATGGAATGAAAGTTCAACCAGATAAATTCCAAAAATAGTGACATTAAGACTCCTTACCCGGTGCAGGAATGGGAACAAAACCACCTTTAATTTGTTCTTAACATAGTGGTCATTCACTTGGAAGTAGTATTGGGGATCAGAGAAATACCGGCTTATCTGTTATTGAAAAGAAAAAATTATTTAAAAGAACTTTGAATTCACACCTAGAGATAATATCTAGAATTAAGGTAGACAAGATCAGAAAAGCTATTTTAAGTCATCTTTTAGCTGTAAGGGTTTTCCCTCCAAAATCAGGGGAACCTGACTTGATTGATACAAGTGCATGTGCCATATATGAAATAGAATTGAAAGTGAATCACAGAACATTTCAATTATCTGGAAATAGTTAAATGGGAAGTCCAAATATCGAAATGCTATGTTGTGCAGTACAACAGTTTCTGATAATCAACAGATATCATTGTTCAAGTGATATACCATACAGCTTAGAAACACGGGACTGAAGAGTTTATATCCGTTTTCTCTGAGCAGTTTAAACATGAGGAAGACAATGAAAAACAAAAGAAATTAACAATTAAAAAGAACATAGAGTAATAGATTCAATATTACCAACCATGAATTATTATTTTATATTAAAGATTGAAAGAAAAATGACAGACTAATACATACATTGCTTTGGACGTACTCAGAGCTTGATCCTAATATTTTTTCTCCATACGCGCCCAAGCCACCTCGAATGAGTCCTGAACCGGCAGCATTAAATGCATTCCCAAACAGATTAGGTTGCGAGCTTGTTGGAGGTTGAGGAACATGTTGAGGAACTCCCGGTGGCATCCCAACATTATTATACATTGTTTCTGCCACATAAATGCATATAATCAATCAGAATTCAGAAATAACTTTTTTAAGGTTCAAGGGAATGTGGGGATTGAACCCCAGCACATAACTAGAACCATCCAGTAAAGAATAGGAGAGATAACCAATTGAGCTATGGTGCAATCAGAAACAACACCAATAGGCAGAAATCAACAAAATACAGACAAATAAAAAGCTCTCATCACACATAAAAACAAAACAAAACAAAATCCAACAAAAACATAAGATCCATTTCAGTTCAAATGTTAGGAAGACACTGTGCTAAGTCCATGTTGGTGATCTCACTCTCCCAACCCATCCAAGTTCTCAATTTGTCTATGCTACGGACCCTGTCCCACTCTACTTTGCATCTATCAAACGGCGATGTTTACGCCCAACTTGAAAACATATTCTAGTTCAAAAGGGTATAAGGATAAAAATAACAAATTTACTAACCCCATGCTTAAGTGGGGTTTAAGAAAGAACAACACGAGCTTCTAATTACTTCAGTAGAAAACGAATACATATAAAAACATAACAAACATAAACAAGGTGGAGAAAATGGGGATTATTATTAATACCCAATTAGAAAAAGTGGATTTTAACCAGGATTTTAGGCTATCATGAACAACATGATCATAAGGGTTCAAGAGGACCAAATAGAGAGATGATGAAAAAACTGCGAGATTTTTTAAGTGCGCGCAAATCAAGCAACGACCCAATAACAAAGGAGCATAGCAGAGTGAAAAATTCTAAGCTTTAAAGCAAAGCAACGAAGAGAAAGAGAATGATCTGTAATTGAAATGCGGAAAAGAATAAAAAAATAGAAAAATGAGGGAAACAAAATTAAGAGAGGGAAAGAAGAATGAACCTGAGTAGAAAAGAAAAAAGATGGTGTAGTCAAAAGAGAAACGCTGTTGGAAGATGAAATGAAGAATGAAGCAAAGAGAGATCTCACACACTCACCATTGAACCAAGTGAATAAGCTTTCCCTTTTTAAATCCGCACCGTTTTGATGCCTTCCTCTCCAATCTTATGACCAAATCCTACTAAGTCTTATTATTATTATTATTATTACTATTTATACATGAATAAATTCACAGAAAAATAATTAAGAATACTAAGGCATAGTTTGCCTAAAAATATCTTTTTTTTTTTACTTTTATTAATTAATAATTATGAAAATGTTATTTTACTTTTGTTTTTATTTTCATAAATGTGATAGTTAAAATAATAAAAATTGTTATAATTAATACAAGTGTTTGGTTATAGAAAAAAAATAATATAAAGTGATGATTTTCACCCAATTAATTTTACAGTGTCGAAGAGATAAGACAATTCTTCTCTCTTATGCTCGTTTTTTCTTCTTGCTTGAGAAGAGTTACCATCTTCATAATCATCATGTTCAATTGCACTCATAACAGTTCAGTTAATTAAAATTTTAAGTTTTATTGAAATAATGAGTTAATTTTTTTTTATTAAGGTAACTTAAAAGATACATATTCGTTATAAATGCAACACTAAAAAAAATTATATATTTTTATCCAATATTGTTTTCAAAATTATCATAATATATTGTTATATTGAATACACTCTACTTTAATGTGAGATATTTGAATATTGGGTCAATTAAAAAAAAAAAAAAGGCATAAACCACAAGATTTGTTGCACACATTATTATAGCATGTTTGGTTCCGTGGAGTGAAAATTGTTAACCCTGTTATTCAAAAATCAAGACTCTAAAAATGGTTTTTTAGAATTAAAAAAAAAACATTTAATTTTAGTTAAGGGTAAGCTTGGAAGTGGAGAGAAAAAATAAATAGAAGAAATTGGGAAAAAGTTTGGTATTTGAATAAAGGAAGAAAAGATAAGAAGGTTTATTTATTTAATGAATTTAGAAAGTATTACTTTTATCTTAATTATGAAGTATAAATTTATTACTTTCTCATTTTTTATAATATATAATAATTTTATTTAACATATTTTATATATTAAAATTAATTTTTAATGATTAAAATAAAACTGTGTAACATACTAGTCATATAATTGGTATATGACTAAATTTAAATTTTTAAATAAATAATTTCATAATAATTCTATACATATATTATATTACAATTTATTTTTTATTATATTTAAGTTGAATAATTCTTTTTTCTAAACTACACAGATTCTTCATAGAAGCAATTCGATTTGAGGCAGATGACAATTTTATATTTTATTTGAATTGAAGTAAATATATTAATGTATAAATAAATTAATTACTTATCTTTTGGTGATGAGTGCTAGAAAAATCCTTTTTTAAAATCCTCAGCATCATTTATGTTTTGTGCATTTTAACGTTCGGTTGTTGCAGAAAAGAAAGGAACCCTCGTTGAAGCAGGTAATCAAATCAAACCACCTTACATCCTGTCGGAACTTTAGTCTTTTCGTTTCACTATGATTGTCTGTACTGCTTACTTTTTGTTGAGGAATTTGTTATAGACAAGTATACGCTCATAAATTGCCTGCAAGATGTTTGATAAAATTGCTGCTTCTGATGTATCTCTGTTTTTCAACGTGATTTTCTGTGGTTTCTTGAATAAATCAATTGCAGGAGCCCAGATGCGTAGACCCACTTTTTGCAAATTGTCATTTGCTGATTTCCTCTACTTTTCTGCTTTATCTTCATTCTTGTTTGTGTTATTTGATTAGATGCTTAGAATGGGAAGCAATTGTTTGGATAGCCACATACACTCAGTTCACTGGACTCTTTACTCATTTTCAGTCCTCTTTTATATGCGCCCTATTATGGATTTATTCTGCTGTCTGTTCTATGCTGCTTGGAGTTGTAACAGTGGTAGATGTTGTTTTGGCTACCAATTTCAATGGTGCTTCATTAACTTTTTGTCATGTTCCAAAGTTTAGATGGTACAGAGTTTTAAGATCCTCTATCATGATTCACTCAACATTTTAGTGTATAATTTGATCTTCTGAAAAGTATAATTCATTTCAAATTGTGAACTACTTTTATTTTTCAATGAACTATTTGAGTAATATGATTACTTACTCTGTACTTGCCATCTTTCTCTTGTAAGGAATGAGCCGTTTGCAAGGATCTTCTTCACTTAAACGGAAACGACAAGACTTAGCCTCAGTGTCTGAGTCTTTGACAGATGGAGAGCGTGTACTCTATAATCTCATTCATAGCAAGAACGATATGGGAATCTGGACAGGAGACATGAAACGGGAAACAAACCTGCCTGACAGCATAGTAAAAAAATCCCTTAAGTTGCTTCAGTCAAAGAATCTGATAAAAGAGGTTGTTAACATTCAAAACAAAGGGAGAAAGCACTACATGGCAACAGAGTTTGAACCTTCCAAGGAAATCACTGGTGGGGATTGGTATAATCAAGGGAGTCTTGATACAGAATTCATAAACCTTGTAAAGGACGTGTGCTTGAAGTACATTTTCAGGCAGAAAGTTGCCACACGTGATGGAGTCTTGGAGTGGATCAGAAAGAGCGAAGTCTTCACTGCTGAAGTCACGACGCAGCAAATAGATGAGATTTTGCGAACTTTGGTTTTGGATGATGAGATTGTAGAGGTGAAGAGCACTGGATTTGGGGATTTTGCATCTGTTCCTATTGGCAGAATTTGTTACAGATGTAAAAGCAAAGGTGGGAATAGAGGGGAAGAGAAGCCTGGTGCCATGGCTTCCATTCCATGTGGAGTTTGTCCCCGAATAAACTTTTGTACACCAGATGGCATTGTATCCCCAAGAACTTGTGTCTATTTTCAGAAATGGTTGGATTTTTGAAGGATTCAAAAACCAATTCATGAGTAGCTATTATATTTGTATTTTAAACATTGTACTTTATGTATCAAAGATCCTTGTCATTAAAATCAAAACTGTTTTTGTGGGTCATCTCTCTCAGTTAGTAATCTTGGTTGGTGGTCATCCAAATTAGAGTAACCAATCTTTTACAACTATTTTATGAATCCATCAAATAGAAAAAAGAAAAATGAAAGCTATTCGATCTGTTCATCGATCAGATTAAAGATGCGTGTTGTCTCAAGATTTTTTGTTGCTTTAGAATCTACTGTGCTACATAATCTTTTGTTGAACTTGTTCTAGTTACAACCAGAGCAATACTGTCACAGCATATTCCTTGTAATAACTTGGTCAATCATCAGAGTCTAAACGAGGGGTATATATATTTGTTACAGTGAACGACTCATTCCAAGGCTTCTTCTCAGATGTGCTCTTTATGAATGAAAACAGATTACCACAAGCAAACAGAGAGAGGTATAAAGCCTCTGTTGTGGTACGAGGTCAGCACAAGCACTAAAGATACTTTGGTCATAAAGGCTTTTTTACAAAACTTTTAGAACCAAAATTTAAAATTTGTTGTTGATCACATGCATGGAAGCGATATTTATCTAAGGCGAATTCTAGGCATGTTATAGTTCCCCGAAGTGATATTTATGCAAGATATCATGTTATACTTCCCCCAGTGAAAAGTTTTGTTTTGTCTTTTAGAATTCTGTTAGGCAAACAATAAATAAGTTTTTTTTTTTTTTTTTTTAAGAAATGTAGCATTTAATATCATTAATGCATTGAATCCTGTAATATTCTTTAAGTTTTAAAAAAAACGTATAGATGTTTATTGTGTATAATACATGTTGAAAGATTTATTTATTTTATAATGTTAATTTATGTTAATATATATATCTTTACTTTTTAGTAGGTTAAAATTATGTTTTACTTAAAATTAAATAAATTATAATTACGTTTTTGCATTTTTTTTGGTATAAACACATTTTTAAAGGAGGCTTTTTTTTTTTAATTTTAAAGGATTTTTATACAATAAAAAAGTCAATTTTATATATTTTTATCAAACACAATTATTATACACATCTAATTAAATTAATAAATAAATATTTTTTTAATGTGTCCAAAAATAAAAAAAAATGTTAAGAAATGAAGAAATAATAATTTTAAAAAAAATTTGTAATAATTTATTGTTATTAAAATATGTGATATCTTATTTTTTTTTATAAAAATATATTATATGTAAATTTTTATTCTATCGTTCAAGTTAAAAAAAATTGGATAAATAATATAACAAGAATGTTCTATTTCCAATTATCAAAACTTAATTATCACTTGAGCCACTGTTCTTCCACCATGGTTAGCGTAAAAAAGAATATTAAATTCTGATTTATATTATGATTTCATGAAGAGAATAAAGGTTGAAAAAGAATAAAGCGAGCCTCTAAAGGTGGTTTAATTGCGTTGTCTTAATTCCTCCATCTTTGTTCCGTGTCATTTCCATACTCCTCTCCGGATCGCTCACATTCACTGATCAAGGTTACATTTTTCTTTTGAATATTAATTTACGCTACCATTCCATTTTCCTCTTCCTTGTTAATTTGTTGCAATTTCGTTTCTCTGCATTTTCACTTCACTGTGTTCTGTCTTCCCCATTACGCTAAGTTTAGAAAAGGCTGATATATGCAATTGCACATAGTAAGTTTTGAAGCGAAATGGGACTTCACCCTAGTTTCCTAATTGAAAACTGAACGCAAAACTGAAACAAAGTTTCAATTTTGTGATTGGGTTTGTTTTGGTTTGGATTTTATTCCTGTTTTCGTATAAGTTTTTTCATTTTGAAAGAAAAAAAAAATCACTGTTTAAATTGTGTTGATTGTGTGTTTGTTAGTTGTGAAGCGAAATTTAGTATATATAATACTTATTATTGTGGCAGGGATTTGATAAGATACTGTTTGTGCTGGTGAGGGCATCATCAGAGTGAAGTTGCTGATTATATAGCATTTGTTATTGGTTGTTTAACCCTACTATTTATAATCAGAGGAAAGAGAGAAAGAAAAAAAGGAGCAGAATGAGTAGTCCACAGCTGCCAAAGAAAAGAGTGGCATTTGTGCTGATTGATGGGTTGGGTGATGTGTCACTGCCAAGGTTTGGATACAAGACTCCTCTTCAGGCAGCGAAAGTACCCAATTTGGATGCCATATCATCTGCTGGAGTTAATGGACTAATGGACCCTGTTGAGGTTGGCTTAGCTTGTGGAAGTGACACTGCTCATCTTTCCTTGTTGGGTTATGATCCTAGAGTTTATTATCGCGGTCGAGGAGCGTTTGAATCCATGGGGGCGGGGTTGGCCATGTCACCTGGTGATATTGCTTTTAAGGTTGGTGTAGAAACCTATCGTCATATTTTTTTTAAAGCTTACTTTTGAATTGGAGCTCTGCTTTAGCCTAAGCAGACTAACTTTTCACATTAATGCTACTTCAAAAGCTATAATCTTTTTGGTACATAGTGGTAGTTTGTGTCTTTCCAAAATTATTCTAGGAAAGGCTCTAATAGTTGACCTTTTGCAGATTTATTGCAATGCATTACCAATGCAATTGTGAGTGGCATCAGTCTTCTGACTTAGTGACTAGTGTTACATCTAAATTCCTTATATAGATTGTGCTTTCTTTCTCTGTTATCTGAAAATTATTATTTCTTAACCTTACTTTTCTAAACGGGACATATCATACATCTCAAAGTTTGTTCTGCTGCTGCATTTTTCATGCTAATCACTTGATGAAATATTTTCCGGCAGTCAAACTTTGCCACTCTTGACGAGAAAACTGGAATAGTCACCAGTAGGAGAGCTGACAGGCATTTTGAAGAAGAAGGCCCCATACTTTGTGCTGCCTTGGATGGAATGAAGCTGCCATCTTTCCCTCAATATGAAGTCAGGGTCAGGTGAAGATGCCTAAGGTTGCTATAACATTTAAGGGTTAATTGTTAATGTAGGTAACCACTTATTATGTGTAATGTTAAGTTTTTAATGTTCCTACTTTGTTTTTTAATCCAAAGATAGTTTTGAGAACACTGGTTCTTGTTAGAGAAAATTTTAATGGTGGAAGAAATCTCTATGTTAGTCATCTCATAAATTTTGAAGGATCTTGGATCGTTGACTGTATTTTATCTATTTTGAAGATTTCATTCCAAAATTTTAAAATTCAACCCTCAAGTAAAATTGATTACTAGAGATTGACAAGTTGGGGAACTCAAGATTTATGCAGAATTAAATTAACAGTTCATATCTAGTCCACCAAAATAATTATCAATTCTGTATACGCTTCTGCTATTCTTTCATTAGGTATGCAACGGAGCATAGATGTGGAGTGGTTGTTAAAGGTCCAAATTTGAGCGGAAATATTTCAGGAACAGACCCATTAAAGGACAACCGCTTACTTTTGAAAGCAGAAGCTTTAGATGATTCTCATGAAGCAAGGAACACTGCTGCTGTTGTTAATGAGTTGTCCAAGGAAATAACAAAAATTCTGGTTTCTCATCCTGTAAATGCTAAACGTGTTGCCGAAGGGAAGAACATAGCAAATGTAGTCCTTTTAAGAGGTTGTGGCATTCGAATTGAGGTCTGTTTTTTCATTTTATTTCATAATTGGCACACTTAGCTTTCAAGCATTGAAGTGATGCTTAAAAGATCCAAACTACTTAAAGGAAAGCACATCAAATATGTAGCAATCATTTAAGAATAATTAGAAATAACAATATTAACATGTATGTTCTCCCGTTTTGAGTTTCTTCTCATTTGAGTTTTATGGTATGTTGCTTTCTTTTTGAATATTGTTAACTTTCAAAAGGTGGGTACTAATGAGGTTTTGTGGCTACAGAAGCGGGCTTTCTGTAACTTCAGAACTTTCTATTATTCTGTTACTTTGCAATATACACTGTAAATACTTGAATAAAGAGTTAAATGCCAGTTGGTCTGTTTATTGTATCCTCTGTCTGAGCTGTTATTTGATGAACTGAAATCTAGGTTATAGATGGTAATGTGTGTCCATGTACTAGTTGTATTCATTTATCACTTTAAATTGTATATTACAGGTTACACCATTTTTAAATAAACATGGTTTGTGGCCATGCATGGTGGCTCCAACAAAAATAATTGCTGGCCTGGGCTTATCACTTGGTATTGATATTCTAGATGCTCCTGGAGCAACTGGAGACTATCGAACTTTACTAACTTCAAAAGCATCAGCAATAGCCAAGGCACTCTCGGCTCCTTTACAGTCCTGCCCCCAAGTTTTTGTACCTGGAGAGGATGAGCTTAAAGCAGGCCGGTCGGATGGCTATGACTTTGGTTTTCTTCATATCAAGGTCATAATGTTATGGCTTTTAATTTCTTTATCTGCTTTTACTTTTCAGCAATTTGCCTTTTAGGTGTTCCAAAATTCCCATTTTACAGATGGAGAAGTATGAAATTGTGATTTAATCTTCAGCCTAATGTGAGGCTATGATGCATATTGCAAACAAATACCTTATTTTTAGTGCTGCTGTTGCATGGTCCTTTTGAAAAATGAAGATTTGAAAATTTTCAAAGATGATACAGAATCCAGGAAAATCAAAATTGAAATACAAAAGTTAAGCATTTGTAGACACTTGACTACATCACAAACCCATATTAGAGTTAAATCTACCATCTTTTACGAATAATACTGCTCTTTTCATTTATCCTTCTTCTTATGTTGTTCTAAGCTATATCTATTTCTAGATTTTTGGATTATTCAATTCTAAGAAGACCTTATATGGTATCGCAGGCAATAGATGATGCTGGTCATGACAAGGCAAGCATCCTCAAAGTCAAAGGATTAGAAGCTGTAGATACCGCTGTGGGGCAGTTGGCAAGGCTTCTCTGGGAAGCAGAATCAACAGGAAAATTTCAGTTTTTCCTTTGTGTCACAGGTGATCACTCTACTCCAGTAGAATATGGAGATCATAGCTTCGAACCAGTTCCATTTGCCATGTGTCGGTTGAAAGACTTTGTTGGTGCAGTTGGTGAATCCATTGTTTGCAAAACTCCTCTTGATCCATTTCCTATTCCAAGTGTTAAGTCTGGTGACGATTTACTTGATAATTTGGAAACAGAAGAAAGAAGGGACAAAAGTTCTCAAGCTTACTGTGGTGATTCAGTTTATGAGCTAAATGAAGTGGCAGCTGCAAGTGGGTGTTTGGGGCGTTTTCCTGGAGGAGAAATGATGGGAATTATAAAGAAATTCCTTGACTTAGATGTAGAAACTGCTTAACTAGGAACTAGCAAGTTAGGAGTGTTATGGCAGTTCATATTTTTCTGAGAAATTTTAAAGTTCAGACTTTTTCTTCTCTCGCTCTGAAGATCAAGGGACTTCAGGGTACAAAAAATCAAATTTTGAACTCTTTGTAGCATAAGAAGTCTACTCTAAAAATAACAATGGAAACTCACTTTAACTAAATTTATCTATCTTGTTCCCCCTCCCCTCCCCTCCCCTCCCCTGCCCTCCCCTTTTTTTTTTTATCATCAATTAAAGATAATATTATTAAATTAATAATGAATATTGTTGAATTAAAATGACTTTTTTAATTAAAAAATTAACAATGTATTGTATGTCTATTTTATTATTTTACTGGCCGTTAGATTTAAGTTAAATGAAATATTCAGATTAGGTATAAAAAATTTTAGATTTATACTGATATAAGAAGATCTTGTTTTTTTTTTTAATAGTTAATATGAGTATTATTAATATCTTAAAAATAAGAAATAAATTATAACAATTTTTTAATTAAAATTTAATTATAAGACAATAAAAAAATAGAAATTTTTAAAAATATTTTTATTTAAGCTAATTTTTCATCTAGATATGTTTGTTTAAAATTAATAATTCTTATTTGATATATTTAGATAGATGAATTGTATTTCACTCTTATAATTATACTTGTATGAGAATACATGCCAAGACAAAATAGAGAAGATAGCAAGATAAATTAACTCATTCAGAAACATTTTCTGCTACATGACATTTTTGCAAAAGAAAAAAAAATTGTGATAAATATAGAAGAAAGTGAATTTTTTTTTTATAAAACATTAATATTATTAGTGAGTTTTTTGTGCATTTCATGAGCATTGGTATGCATATTATTACATAATTTTTTTGATGAAAAAAATATACTATATGAATAGTGTTAAATAAATAAATAGGACTTTTAAAAGTGAAAAGAAATAATAATAAAATTGAAAATTGAAATTAAGGTTAAATTTAAAAACTTAAAATACAAGAAAATGTGACAAAATAAACAAATAATAAATCTTAAAGTTACTCTTATTTAACATAATTAATAAAATAATTATTTTTGAAGATTAAGAATTATATTTAACATATAAAAATAAATAAGTATATTTTAATTGAATTATGCTACACTTAAAAAAAAAAAGATCAAGCACTGAAGCTGAAGATCATGGAATCTTCTTTAAAAGATTTAATGTGACAAATTTTAATTTTTTTTAATCTTTTATCATCATTCCAATAACAAAAGCCTATCCTTAATAAAAATTGACAAATGTTCTTCAAAATGCTTTATTCATATGAAATCTTTCTTAATTTATTTTTATTTGATTTTATGGAATCTTTTTATCGTATTAAAATGTAAGTGGTTATGTTTACTTTAATTTTTGTATTTTATATATTGTAAACCAATTTTATTTTTATGTAACTCAACTTAAATTACATGTAAAAGTGAACATTCATTATTTAAATAAAATTTTTAAGTTGTGAAATATAATAAAATTTTATTTAAAATATAAATTTTAATATAATATAATACATTAATATTATTAAATATTATATTTTTAATAAAAATATATTATAGAAATAATATTAATCCGTTTGGACAAAAATTCCGGCTAATTAACATTTTCTTTGCTTATGCATGTGTTGAGTGTTGTTAAATCATATATATTGGCAACGGAACATTTGAGATGACACATAAACATGACCAACAACCTATCACGTGACCGAATTTGAAATTAGAGACATAGCACGTGCAGCATCCATTTGGTATTTTTCATTTCATTTGATTTTGATTTGAAGCAAAACCAAAAACTCAAACAAACAAAAACCCTCTCTTTTTCTTTGGTTTTCTCTGTGAATCGGAAGTAGCAGTCATGGAAGCCATACTGGTGGATTGTGTGCAGAAGAGTCTTCGCCATTTCATGCACACCAACGCCATCTTCCTCTGCCAGCGTCTCTGCGCTGAGTTTCCCACTGAGGTAGGTACCTTTTCCCCTTTTCAATTTCTCTCAATTTTCCTTTCCTTTCTCTGCTGAGTTTGGTTCCTTAGAAACTCTGAGAAAATGGAAATGGAAATCGAAAATTCTCTCTTCCCTGTTATAAGCTCCTTCTTTTAAGCTCTGAGATCGATGCTCTTTGGCTTCACCTAGCTGTTTGATTCAAGTCCATTTTGGAGTTTCTGTGGTGATTGTTGATTTTTTTTTTTATAGAGGATTTGGATTCGGTTTCTTCTTTTAGGTTCTCCCTCTATTTGAATTGCACATATATATATTTTTTCTTCTTCACAGTACACTAGTAAGATTAAATTGGGTTTGCCATGCTAGTTTGAATCATGAAGTTTCTTTGGTTCTGCATTAGTTTTGTGAAAGTAGTGAATTCATACGCGACAGTTTTTCCCTTTTCTGAGGTTTGAAATTGCCTGTGTGCTCGGTGCATAACAGTGAAAGGTTTTTTCCTGTGTGAGGACTACTTCCCACCTATAGCTGTTTTTGCAAACGGTAATGGGTTAAAATATATTTTGTGCTGCACTTATGAAGAGACTTGGACCTTCAATTTATTTACTTGAAGTCTGAAACATAATTCAATTGAATAGGAAATGCAAATATGGAGTTATAGACTTGTTTTTGTAATGTATACTAGCGGGTGCTTGCCTCTGTGTGTGTGTGTGTGAGTTAAAGGTTAAACTTTTTTCTTCACTGCTTATAATTTATCATTAAGTGTAGGCCCAATATTTTTTATTTGGCATGTATCTAAGATACATTACACATGCCTGAATGATAATTTTTTGTCCTTATAACTTTTGCTAATTGTTACTTCTTGTTCATTGGTGGTCCTCTCTTTAGCTGATATTCAACCTCACTTGCTGAAGGATATTTTTACTCTCTTTCATGATTTAGTTAGATAATTATTTTCTGTATACTATGCAGACAAATCTCCAATTGTTGGCTGGATGTTACTTGCAGAGTAATCAAGCTTATTCTGCATACCATATCTTAAAGGGTATATTTCTATCAATATTTATATACTAACCAGTTTTTGGAATCACATTCGTAGGCCTGTTAATTTTAAACATCACCATTCCTCATCTGTTTCCTGAATTTCATTTGAATAGATAATGTGTTATTTCATTTGTTTTCTGTTATATAATAGCTCTGCTTCTCATCATGTGTCACTTGTTATTCATTTTGTCTTTAATACTTGAAGGAACACAAATGGCTCAATCCCGGTACTTGTTTGCAATATCATGCTTTCAGATGGATCTTCTTAATGAAGCTGAAGCAGCATTATGTCCTGCTAATGAGCCAAGTGCAGAGGTATAAAGCACAATTTAAAAAATGTATTTTAAATTAAGAATAATCTTCCAAATTTTTTTAATGATCTCTTAGCGACCTTGCATTTTTGTCTCATAAACTGTTTGCTTGTGTTTTTATCTTTCTTATGTTTGTTTAATTCCTTATCTAATAAACTATTGTTAAATGCATCTTTCATATATGATATTAGTTCTGGCATGGTGCTCTGCTTTAGTCTTTAAGTTGTTTTTATATTATAATTTGTTTATACAATTGCTAGGAAAAATTGATTGACCACTTTTGTTTTGTTGTTTTCCTCTCTTTGTAGGTTCCAAATGGTGCAGCTGGTCATTATCTATTAGGGCTCATTTACAGGTTGCTAATCAGTCTTACCATCAATTGTTAATTTGTTTTTATGAAATCTGCTTTTAATGTTGTGTGAAAGGAAATTATCTGATCCTGGATAAATCTGATCATATGCATGTATACCCATTTAACATCAAAGCAGACATGATTGGAAATTTATATTCATATTCCTACCTCTTTGAGGCATATGCAAAGGCTTTAAGTCAAGCCACTAAAAGGGATGATAGCTATATGGTGGTGAGAACAAATATTAATTAATTGTAGTGAAGTGTTGTAACTTGTAACCTCTAAATAGCTGTTATAGAGTTTTTTTTTTCCTTTCCTCAAAGTTCAACAGCCCGTTAACTATTCATGCATGAGTTAAGCTGTTGATGATACTCTTAAGTAAGTTTAGCTTAAACCTTTGACTTTTGCAACCTGTTTTATATCATATATTTTAGCCAAGTTAAAACAGTGATTGTGTTTATTATGTTGAAAGATTTTTTGGTTTGCTTCTTTGACAAAGTGGATTGTTAATAATCTGACTTTTCTTTAATAGATATGCAATCTGCTAACTTTTCATTGGAGGAGTTTCCCACAAAGTCCACTGTTGAATTGAAAGTTCTTGTCATGTAAATTATACCCATAAAATTTTACATAAATCAAAAATTGTTTTAAACTCCTATACTTTATGATTAATGTATAATATGATTTTTACATTCAAAATATATGAAATGAACTATTTGATTACATTTTTATTGATTTTCAAGTTTTGCAACATTTGGCATGAAAGATCAAAATTATAGTTATAGTTCAACTATTGAATTAATAAAAATTACATTATATAAAAACACATTGGATGTGGTAAGTGTGTCAAGTTTTACGCTGGAGTAAATTCCTTGTGTGTGTGTGAGTGTGTCTCATGTATGCATGCAACACTTCATAAATTCACCCTTCTAAATTCTCTTTGCTTATTATTCTCTTTTTCAGATACACTGACAGAAGGAAAAGTGCCATTTGTCATTTTAAGCAGGCACTATCAATGGATCCTCTAATGTGGGCTGCATATGAGGAGTTGTGCATATTAGGTCTGTATGATGATATTCAACTTGCTCACTGGGCAGGCTTTCCATAAATAGATCACATATATGATATGAGAATAATGCACTTATCATTTAAGCATTTGGTTCTGGTGATGGATTGAAAACTTGAACAGGTGGCCTTGAATCATCACCTTGATGCTCTAGGAATTGATAATATTCCCTTTGCTTTTGACTCTTGAGATTTGCCTGTGTAAACATTTAAAAATTTGTTAATTTTTCTGATGACCTAATCTGCTTGTGATTGCTTTCTGAAAAATGCGTATATGTATTTATGTATAAGTTATGAATGATCATACAGATAATATGCTGCTGATGTACAATCTAAAATGTTCATCATGGTTTTCTAGAGTCCATTGCAGTTTAGGTGGTAGTAGTATTGTTATTGCTTTGAAATAGTTATGATTCATTATTTGATTTCTGATGGTT